CTGCTTCTCTTGGGCTTTTGTTTTTTCTCTTGGGCTTTTTTAATTGTCCAGAGTCCTCTGACTCATCAGCCTTAAAGCTACCTGCACACAGGATGTTGTTTCGATTTAATTGCTTTGTTGCTCCAACTTTGCAGAACCACAGAAAATCATCAGATCTTGTGCAGCAGGACACAATCAAAACTTCCATTTTTATTCGCAGCAGCGGTCGATGACCTGTGAGGTCCCTTGCTCCACTTTGCCCCCCTGTGCTCTGCCTTCCTTTTTCCCTAAAACATGAATTTTTCCCCATAAATACTTGAAATTTTGGTGAGACTCTAATTCCAGCTTCTTCCAAAAAGAAATTCATTTTAATTACTGACCTTTTCCTCAGATACTCAAAAGTTCATTCTCGAACACTCAGGTCTCTCTAATTTCCCCCTCAAGATCACCAGGGTCGTTAACATAAAGGTTGTGAGCACAGTGTCATCGAGATGAAGTATTGTGTGATGTTTACCTGGACGTATCGATCTTTTACTGCGTTCCCTGGCCTGTGTCACTGTTAGTGGCTTTGCGAGCCCAAGACCGTGCCCACAGGGAAGTAGGGTAATAAACGACAATATTTGAAAATGGGAGGCTGTTAGTAATATGACTTGCATATAAGGATCCTACAAACTGAAAGTATTGGAGTCTGACGTATAATTTATAATACCCTTGCATTAGAATATGAGTCATGATATCTTAGGGAAATGGAAAAATTATTTATAGTCTAGTTTTGAAATTGCTTTGAGCACATTATCTGGATGGCAAGATCTATGCTTTACAAAATCGGGACATGGAGACCCGTCCTGGTGGCCCAGCCCTGGAGAAGGGGACACGCAGGCTATGCAGGAGGCAAGTGCCTCGTGGCTGGAGCCGAGCCTGCAAACCCAGGCGGGGGTGGGGCTGGGGGCTTCTCCGGAGGCCTCAGTGGCCCCTTCTCCTAAGGGTGCGGCTGGGTTGGATCCGGGACCTCCCGCGTTCTGCCTCAGCGCCTCCTTAAAGGCTCTCTCCAAGGGCGGCCCTTCTGAGGTCCGGCCATTAAGGATTCACGTGTGAGTTTGGAGGAGACACAAAATTAAAATGTTTTATCTCCTTATAATTTCAACCCAAATGAGAGACTGTCAACAATCCTTCCTCATCTCTACTGGGGTGCAAATGGCATCTTGTTAAAACTTCCAAAGGCAAGTGGGTTGCCGAACATTGCAAATTAGAAAATGATGAACTGTTTCCCCAGAATGAGGTTAATTTTCTCCCATTAATAACCAAATTGTGTGCATTGCAGTTTATGTTACATATAATTGTTAGTAGCTCAGTGCCCTTTTTTTAGTAGGCTTTTTGTTGAAGCAAATAGGTTGTCCTTTGGACTTTTTTTTTTTTCTTAAGCAGAGCAGAAATGGAAGGTATTTGTCATCAGTTTATTCTCTTGTTTGCTTCTCGAGTTCATGGAAATGAGCCCCAATCCTGATAGAGATGTTGGATTATAAATGGCTCATTTACCCCCGCCTGCCGGCCGGCTTCCTCTGATGAAAGAGACACTGTCTATAAATCGTGTCTCGGTCTCTTCTTGAATAACAACGAAGCACTGATGCACTATCCCGCCTGCTCTTTTAGGAACTCGAGGGCCGGCTTAGTACTCGTGATACACCCACAGGGTGGGCAGCGGCTCCACCCCACACTTTGAACCCAAAACTCCTTGGGACGCCGTAGAGCCCAGCACGGGTCTGCTGGGCCGAGGGTCTGCATGCTGGGCCTGGCGCCTGGCCGCCCTCGGGCCTCGTGTAAGCTACCCGGACGTCGTTTCCTCAGAACCAGAATGCTGGAGCTCCCTTTCAGCTATACTGACCTGTAGCTGCCGGGAGTTTAGTCTGTGGCCTAAGGATGGGGGGCGACTGCCTTTCGGGGGACTTACCCTCCGCCTTGAGGCTCCCGTCCAGTTAAGGCTTCACCATCTGAGGGGCTCATGAGTGAAGAGGATGCAGCGGGTACCTGGGTGCCCGCTCCCAGGCACCCCGGGGCCTCCCCAGCTACAGGACTCCGTCCTTAGTGTTTGCTTTGGAGCGTCGTCACCGCCTACTTGGCTCCTCTGGAAGTGGAAGAGCCTGTGATGTCCAAGCCCCTTCCACAGCTCCGGGCCTCATTCTCCTGCTCCCAAAGACTCGGTTTCCTCAGGTATGAAGAGCGCTTGCAGGGTGATCGCACGGGGCTTTGGCAAACACAGCTGCAGATTTAACAAATAAAATAAAGATACCCACGTTAATCTGAACTTCAGGTAAAATGAGAAAAGTATTGACTAGGACACGCTAATCCTGAAAGCATTATTCCTGGGTTCACCGAGGCGCCCTTACATCGGGCGCCTTTATTTACGGTGCGGGCCTGCCGCAGAAACGCTTATCGTTCTGCTCGCACAAGGCGACTGTAAGTCACTCTGTGCAACAGTTAAGGACAGTTTCTCGTAAATACAATTCTTCTGTCTTTCAGACAACGAGCCCATGCCAGTTTGATCAATACTAAAAATCCAGCGTCGCTCCCCTCCTCGTCATGGTCTAGTTCTCAGTGTGAGAGATGAACTCCAAACCTGTAACTGTCCTGCAGGCCCGCGCCTGATTTGCGGTGGAGGCTTCAGGGAAAGGCAAACACTGGCGGGTGGGAGGGTGCCAGGGAGGAGTCAGCCCCGCTTCCGGCCGTCTGTCCGGGCTCCGGGCCTTCCCGGCCTCCTCAGACCCAGCTGCCCTTGCTGGCAAGGCCCGGCCGCGTTTGTGATCCTGCGGAGGACGGCGGGAAGGCGCGTGTCTATCTGGCATCGACGGGTTTTCCCTGCAACCCGCCTGATTGGAAAAGTGAATTTCCAGGGCGCAGAAGGTGTGTGTGGTTCTAGTTTCTGTGGCAACTTTCAGAGTTAATATTTTATCAGATGAAACCAGTTAAAGTGATTTTCTTCCTGTGTCCTTTACGGAGTCTTTAGCTGGAGGCTGTCCCTGTTGGGGACTCGTGGAAAGGGCGCTTCTGTTTCACTTCACAGGGCGGCTGCAGACGCTCACTAAAGGTCACCATGGAAAAATGATTCATCAGGACTCTTGTGGCAAATGCCCTGTGGTAATGGCCGTGCCCAGCAGGGGCGCCCACACCTCCCAGGTGCTCCCCATCTCTCCTCCTTCGCTCTGATCCTCCCTCTCCTCCTGACTTTTTCTTTTTTTAAGATTTCTTTATGTATGCATACAGAACTGGGGTGCAGGCCAGCAGTGCAGGGGGTAAGAGAATTCCCCAGAGACAGAGTGGGGAGCAGAACAGGCAGATGGACGAAATACACAGCTGAGGGGAGCAGCGGGGAGACGGGAGAGGGCTGGTGGATCACCTGGGGTGGGGATCGAACTCTCATTGAAGGGGCTGCAGGGAGCTTCAGGTGCTGCGTGTGCTTTAACTCCTTGCACCACCAGGGAAAATAGTCACTAAAGCCCACCAGGGTGGCGGGTTTTTTTCTTTCTTTCCTTCCTTCTTTCTTCCTTCCCTCATCTGTTTGGTCCGTTTCCCCCAGCACATGTTAATTTTCACTATGATATTTGCTGTGTAATTAATTACTCGCAATCCTTCATTAAAAAAAAAAAAAAAAAAGAGGCAGGAGTGGCCCCGGGGGCAGACCGAGTGGCCTCCAGAGGGCGGCTGTACAGGTGAAGGATGGGTCCCGTGCCATGAGCCCCGGGAGTGCGCAGGGGCCACCCACCTGCGTGAGCGAGGCCAGAGCGGCTGGGGCCCCGGGACCACGCACCCCAGGCCAAGGGCCCCGCAGGTGCTGGGGGTGCCGGAGGCAGGAGCCCCCGGCTGGGGGAAGGAGCGGGTGTCCTGCCGGAGCAGCTGCCTCCCCACACCTCCAAGCCAAGTGCGACGTGTTCACTCTTCCCCACACAGCGTGATTTAGTTTCTGCTGGAACCTTCTCAATCATCGTGTTTACGGGGGGGCTGGAGGTGGGTTGAGCGCTGCTCTCCCAGCCCCGCATACCTTGCTGTGCAGTCAGCAGCCGTCATCTGTGTCGCTGGACATGTTCTCAGCGTGCACTTTATTCAGAGCACCAGGCCAGCCGGCGTCTTGCCCGGGACCGGCCTCCCCTGTCCGCAAGGGCACGCGCATCGTCTGGGCGCTGGACAGTCTTTCCTGCAGGTCCGAGACCGCTGGCTGAGCGGGGAAGCAGAGTCACTACTCAGCTAGCCTCTGTCTCTGTGTTTAGACATCAAGAGGTGCTGGTTTTGCCTCTCGCCAGCCTGTGGGTTTTAGTGGCTATTTCTACGGTGGTTTGAGGACCTGACAGGGTGTTGGGGTGTGGGCAGTGGCCGTGCGTGCCCTGGACCTGGTGCCAGGCTCCAAGGTCACTGGGATTTTCCCGTTGAGCACCTGCCCGGTGGCATGGCTGTGTCACGCCTCTGCTGCCAGCCGGGGTCCCCCGTCCCGTGGCCGTGCCTAGGGCTGACAGAGGGAACCAAAGCCCAGGGCAGCAGAGCCCAGACACGGAGGTCAGCCCAGGGGCATGTTCAGAAGGAAGAGCGGAGCCGGGAAGGGTGTGTCAGAGAAAGCCAAGGAGAGAGGACGGGTGACATGGGCACCCAGGTAGATGGACAGGGCAGGATGGACCCCAGGCACAAGGGGAGGGGCTGGCTGGTTGCCCATCCTGAGGTCGCCCTTGGGCAGGGTCAGCCAGCGGCTGAAGGTGCAGCCTCTCAAGTTGCTCTGCTGCTGGCGGTGGGGTGGAGGCGGGGGGCGCTGCCCGCTCTGGGCTGCGGCTTGTGCCTGGACACGGTGAAGGGGCTGGGTGGTGTCCACAGAGGCCTGTGAAGTCAGCGACTGGCCGCCTCCTCTGCCGGGCAGGGCCAGCGGGGCCCCCAGGGCTCCGCAACGGTGAATGTCCGGGGTGACCGGAGGGAGCCAGCCAAGGCGTGCTGGCCGGCTCCCCGGAAGTCAGGCCGTGGCCTCATGGTTCTCCTCCCCCCTGCAGATCACGGCACCATAAAGAAGGTGCGGGCGCCGCTGACGCCGACCACGGGCGGCTGCCTGCTGGAGGAGATCGAGCTCTTCCCGGAGAGGCGGCCGGAGCCCGTCAGGAGCCTGCGGATCCTGCACAGCCAGAGCGCCCTGTTCGTGGGTCTGCGCGGGCACGTGGCCAAGGTGCCACTGAGGCGCTGCCGGTCCCACAGCACCCGCAGGTAGGCGGCCCTGCCCGGGTCCAGCCCGGCCCCGCCCACTGCCCGGCCCCGCCCACTGCCCGGCCCCGCCCACTGCCCGGCCCCGCCCCCCGCCCACTGCCCCGGCCCCGCCCTCCTTGCGCTGGGCTGGCCGCGCACCTGTGCAGGGGACACCGGGTGCCCCCTCCTGCTGAGGACGCTCCCCGGGGCGCCCGGCAGGTGCCTGCAGCGCTGACTCGTCTGGGCACTGTCACTGTTTGGTTCGAGTACACGTGTGCGGACCGTGTGCGGACACATGTTTATGTCGTGTGTACACTTGTACATCCCTGCCACCGCTTTGGGCGCAGAGGGCACCAAACACTGTCCGGGCTGCCCAGAGCCACCCCTTTCTGGCAGGCGGCAGAGTTGCCCTGGGCACCAGCGCGGGGTGCGTCTCCCCCAGGAGCCACCTCACACACCCCTGGGAGGGGGACGGGAGAAGGGCCCCAACGGGGCAGGCCCCCCACCCAGGCCAGAGGTCTCCTGCTGACCACAGCGGGACTGGAGCCAGTTTGGAGAGAGCAGGTGCAGAGGCGGGAGACCGGGACTCCTCCCCGCTGGCCCCCACCAGCCCCGCTGTGTCCGCCTCCAGCCCCTGAGGGTCTCTGGACAGTCAGAGTCTCAGATGTCCTGGGATCAGTATCGTGCTGAGGCCACGTCCAGGGCATGTGGCTGTGGGCCTGCTGCCCGCTGGACACTGACTGCCACTCACCACCACCCCTTTTTTGCTAACACAGAAGAACTCGGGTGCAGGCCAGAGGTGCAGGGGGGGAGGTAAGGGGACTTCCCAGAGGCAGAGGGGAGCAGGACAGGCAGGTCCACTGACATCCACTGCTGAGAGGTCTGCTGCGCCCTGTGGGTCACTCCCTGGCCAGGATTGAACTCAGGCCATTGGGGTGACAGTGCTGAGACTTAAGCCCTGGCCACCAGGGAGGCACACAACTCACCCTTCTCAAGCAAGTGCCCAGAGGCACTGACCTGCGGGCGCCTCCCTGGGGTCCCTCAGCTTCTCATCCAACCCAGGAATCGCAGTGGAAGCAAGTGAGGGGCTGCGAAGCGGGCGTTCTTGGGGGAAGGAGCAGCGTGTTACCAGAAATGGCGACCCCGTTCCTTTCTGGATAACCCCACGCCATCCAGCCTATGACAGGACCCCCTTTGGTGTCAGCGGCTGTGACTGACCCCAGGACAGCAGTTCTGTCTGCCACAAGCAGGATCAGAGCTCTCTTGTTCTGCTCCTTCCGAATGTAGCCAGGGGCCGTTCAAGATTGTTCTGGTTCATGATCCTGGCCCGGAGCTGTTCTGCCCCACTGCGGGGGAGGGGGGGGTGTCTCCTGTGTGTGACAGGAGGATGGGGGTGTGGTGACCAGCTGGCCTGGCAGGGGCTGAACACTGCTCTTTCCACTCCAGCCAGTGAGCCCCCCAAGTTCTAGCAGTGACTTGGGGGGAGCCACCCAGCATGACATACACCCAAGAGGACATGCTCCACGTCACAGTGGAAGCTCCTGGCTGGCAAAGCAGGGTTCAGCCCCACCCCCAAGGCTGCGCTGCCTCCTGAGTGGGGGTCACGCCCCTCTGCTTCCCTCTGGCGCAGCCGGAGAAATCGAGTCCTGAGTGGGGGACGGGTGTCCCCACGCCCGCTGGTCTCTGCTGCATGTGCCTGGATGCCCCGTGCTGGTTCCACAGGCGCCGCCATCCCCAGCACCCCGACTGGGGCTCACACCCCAGACCCCCCTCACTTTCCTTTCAAGATGAGGCGGCCCCTTTCTCTCCAGGCTCCTGGGGGGCAGATGTCAGCTCCCCGCAGGGACTACCCTCCCTGCAGTTTGCTTGCCAAGTGGCTTTAACCTCTGGAGCTTGCTAGGGGCCTGCAGTGGGCGTGCCTGACCCAGCCCCCGGAAAGCCGCTCCAGATTCCAGCCCGGAAGTCCCTCTGCTTGTCTGCGGGTCTCTGCCACCATCTGCCTGCGGGTGTGCCTGAGCCTCCTGCAGCTGCCCCGGCAGGCGCCTCCACAGGCTCCATAACTATTTACCAAATTAGCGAGTGCGCACCCCACTGTGCCCCAATTTGTTATTTTACTTTATAGTCTAAGTTTTGAGGAAACCTAAATTCTGGTGCAAGCCGAGCGGCCTTTCTAGAAACAAGCAGTGGCAGGAACAGCAGAAAGACAGAAAGGTGGGGCCTGCGGAGAGTGCTGTAAGTTTGCTGCAGGGTGAATCACGCCCTGTAAACACAGAAGGACAGGGCTTTGAAGAGCCTTTTCACCCTCCAGTGATTTATTTGTGCTTTGAGTGTTTCTAAAGGGTTACTCCGGAAATGGCTTTTTTCAGCTTTGTTTTAAACTTTTAGTTTATCAAAATTGGAGGGAAAGGGGGAGCCATTAAGAAAAAGACCTGCGCTCCCTTGTGAAAGGGTAGCTGGTTACTGGGAGCTCATTAGTCTGTTGTAGTGCAGGTTAGTTAAGCAATTAATGCCTCGTTAAGAAAATGAGCATGGAGATGAGGCTCCGGAGGACATCTGTTGCTTAAAGGGCAAAGTTTTAAAAGGTGGAGTTAACAGTTGTTATTAAAGATTTATTTATGCATAGAAAAACTGGGGTACAGGCCAGAAGTGTGGGGGGTGTGAGAAGATTCCCCAGAGACAGAGTGGGGAGCAGGACAGGCAGATGGACGAAGCACACTGCTGAGGGGAGCAAGGGGGAGACCGGAGAGGTCTGCTGCGCCCTGTGGTCACTCCCTGGCCCTGGCCGGGGATCGAACTCCCGCTGCAGTGGCTGCGGACAGCTTCATGTGCTACACTTTCACCTGTTGCACCACCAGGGAGTTCCAATCTTGTTTAGCTTTAAAACAGATTTTTCATGAAAATTTGAGTGCTCTGATAATGTTTGAACTAAAAACCACTTGCTTGAGGTTACTGGTGGTGCCCACCCATTATTCCAAGTTAATCTTAAAGTAGATTGAAATCTGAAAAATCCTCACAGTAGTTAATCCAATGTCCTTTCATGGTAGTCAGGATAGAATGGTGGTTTTAGTGCTTTAAAAGTTGGTGACAACCTGCTAGTCTAGTTTGGTCATTGCCTCAACAAATCACAGCATGCAACGCGAATATTATTAACTGCCTTTAGCAAGTTAGGCATCATGAGTTTGGTCATGTGCTTTACTAGTAATTAGGTCTCTTATTTGGCCTGTGTCCCAGCTGAAAAACTGCTGTTAGAGCTGTCCTGGTGCAGATCTGCTTGGGAATTATAAATTAATCTTCTCTGACACATGCTTTTCCTGCAGCCCAGTTTCTTTCGCCAGAGCAAAGCCCACCTTCCATTCCCAGTGCTGCAGGGAACCTGAGCTCCAGATTGGGACTTTAGGGGAAGCCCAGACAAGCTGCTGGGCTCCCCTCCCGGATCTCACCCCACTGACCTATGGGTCACCCGGGACATCATCCGCTCCTGGCCCGTCGCTGGCCGCCTCTCTCCCCCAAGTCCTGGGTCACAAAGCTGATCGTCACTCATCCTGTGCTGTGGCCCAACAACTTGCCCACTTTTGGGGGTGCACTATGGACTTTGATGTCACCTTTTTTTTTTTTTTTAAGATTCATTTATTTGTGCATACAGAACTTGAGTACAGACCAGAGGTGCAGGGGCAGTGAGAGTCTTCACCAGAGACAGAGTGGGGAGAAGAACAGGCAGACTGACGAAGTACACTGCTGAGGGGAGCAGCGGGCGGGTCAGGAGAGGTCTGCCGTGCCCTGTGGGTCACCTGCGGGACCAGGGATTGAACTCGCACCGAGGCAGCTGCTGCTGGCTTGCAGTGCTGTGTCCTAACCCGTTGCACCACCAGGGAGGGCCCTGACATCACCCTTTGAACAGAGGAGCTGTGACCATCATGGCTTTAGTATTTCTGGTGCAGAATATATCAAACGTTCTAGAAGCCGGTAGTATGGTATGGCTTGTCATTCAGTGTAGAGATGAATTAGATATTAGAGTAGATCTATGTACCCCATCCCTATTAAATTGCATTACCTCGTGATGCAATTTAATCATCAAAACAGCTCCTGTTGTTTTGAGGGCAATGGCGTCATGACACTGTCACTCCACTTTGTCAAAGAGGAAACTGAAGGAACATACATTCCAAAGCGACCTGCCCTTGAGAGCAGCGTGGGTGTCTCTGGGTGTGTTTCTCAGGAAGGTGGCTGCCTGCCTGGGGTTTTGCAGCATGTGTCTGGTCATATTTTAGTTGCAAATCAAAGGAGGCAGCCTCCAGTCTCCGCTGCTGACTCCGTACTCCCAGACTTTCAAGTCTGGGTCTCGGCAGCTGTCCTAGGGATGAGCCAAGCGAGTGAGTTCAAACACTTTTCAGACCCCATGTTTAATGAGCACGTTTTGTTACCATGGCAAACATCCTTGATCTAAGAAGTAAAGGAACAAAATGCGAGACAAGCCTTAGGGAAACTCATCGGTGCTGCAGTATCCACAGTGCGGGCCACCACAGCCAAGCGCGCTCACTTTCCAGAAATGTGGTAAGATGATTTCACAAGTATACCTAGTCAACGCACTTGTTGTGATTATGCTCAGATTAGCCTATAATCCACAAACTTTAAAACATGACAGAAGGATTTAGGCAAATATAAATGTCATGGACCTAGAAGTAGGAAAATAATTTAACTTTCTAGAATTAAAAGTCCGGGAGTACGGAGTTGACAAAGGAACCAGCCACTGTACCCCAAGGACTTACTGTGCGTCAAGGAAAGGAGCAGTGGGCAGTAAAGCGCACACTCACCTCTGGGACACATGTTCAATAAATGTATTTTCAAGGTAACCTTTATGTTTTGACCAATAGTTTTCCTGAATTCAGATGCTTTCAATGATGGGCTCGTTTATGGAATGAGAATACTCTAAGGCTGTTAGTAAAACAAGGATATATTTATATTAAAATGATTCATTATGCAAAAGTGACATCTTCAGAGCAGTGAGGAAAAGCCACACCATGCTGGCCAGTTAACAGGAACTCCCGATCGTCCACGTGGTCTCCTGGGGGCCCTGAACTCCAAAACTAACATGTAATGAGGACCAGCTGTGCTTCAAACACAGCTTAGGTAAAGACAGAGCTCAACGGAACTTTTCTCGTGGTACGAACTATTTTACATAAGGAGAACATATCTCACATACGCGGTATTTTTGCTGAATGAGCACAGTGTTTGCAGAAAGGCTTTACGGTCTTAACAGATAAAGGGACATTACCACCACGCGCAGCCAGGCAGGATCTTCAGCACTGCAGGACGAAAAGGGTGTTAGTCAAAGCAGCTTTTCACTTAAAATAGTATTCTAAACTGTCTAAAAGGTATTCTGTGGAGCCCTGCGCTTAGATGAGCTAACTGTGCTTGCATTTCCGAGCAGGTGTCCAACAGATAATGCCGGGAGGGGGGGGGGGGGTGTGGTGGAGGTGAGTATTGTGCAGGTGGTGAAGGGCATAACGATATTTTTGAGCATTGCAAGATTCTACCTTTTGTCCCCTTATGACACTGAGCGGCTCACAATACGTTTTATGTTAGAGAAAAACCACAGATATTCAGCCGAAATGAGTGATCGAATCTGAACTTGATCCTGATGGTGTGGGCAGAGAGCCACAGCCTCCAGGGCACCGACTGACGCCTCTCCCGGTGTCGGCACCAAGGCCTCGGCGGGCCTGGGCAGGCCCCGGCTTTGCTGTCCGCTGACCCCCCTGTCGCCTGCAGCGCCTGCGTCAGGGCCCAGGACCCCTACTGCGGCTGGGACGTGAGCATGAAGAAGTGCACCAGCCTGGAGGAGAGCCTGAGCATGGCGCAGTGGGAGCAGAGCATTTCCGCCTGTCCTGTGAGTGCCCCGCGCGGCCACCGCAGGCCTCCAGGGACCCCGGGTCTCCTGCCACCTCCGCCCCACGGGGTCCACGCGCGGGCTGATTGCAGCTTCTCCTCACCCTCGCGGCGCGGCACGCTCTCCGCTCACCCATCCCCACCCCGCTCGCAGCCAGGGGCGCGGCCCGGCTCTCAGACTAGCCAAGTGCGGTGGCCTGAGAGACGCCGGAGCTGGTCTGGCAGAGGAGCGGACCACTCTTGTGTTCTTGGGCTCTGGACCCCAGAGTTTGGAGCGAACTGTGTGCCTGCTGCAGCAGCCCTGACGTCAGTTTAGTGAATTTAGTAGACTCAAATCAATCAAAAATGAATAGTACAAGCTAAAATGAGTAAGTCACTTCCATACCCATTGCTCTCCCTTGGGGGTTAGTCCAGAAGCTGAGAGAGCTAGAGCTTTGAAGAACAAACGGAAGGCCGTGTCCACGGGGCCCATCTCGGGGGCTCTGGGACAGCCTCAGTTATGCTCCCCCAGCGGACCCCGAGGTGAGGGACCGGCTGGGCTCACGCTGGATGGGCCCCACGCTGTCCTCTGTCCTCCAGCGGACCCCGAGGTGAGGGGGTCCGGTTGGCTTCACAGCAGACGGGCCCCACGCTGCCCTCTGTCCCCCAGTGGACCCCACGGTGAGGGGGGACTGGTTGGCCTCACAGCAGACGGGCCCCACGCTGCCCTCTGAGGCTAGCCACGTCTGTCTTCGTGTGGAGAAGCCAGCTTTCCCTTTGCCTTAGAACCCCCATCACGCAACCTCAAATACTCTTTTCTGACCTCAGAAAAGATGAGCGACACTCTCACCGTCCCGTAAGTAACCGGTGCCCGCTCTGTGTGTCCGGCTGCCCCTACGGGGGCAGTGAGACGAGGGACACGCGCCCCGGGCCGCTCCCCGGCAGCAGGACAGCCTCAGCCACCGACACGTGTGGGTCACCCCGCGCAAGGCGCCTGCCGTCCCCAGGTCTCGGCCCCCTGCCTGCGGCGCTGACCCCGGACAGCAGCCAGGGGGGGCAGGAGGCCGAAGTGGGTGGGCGGCCCCTCCCGCCAGGCCCCCGCCCAGGCCGCACCGAGCCGGGGCTCAGCTGCTCGCCCTCCATCTCGGATCTGCGAAGCCAGATTTTCTGCTGTCTCCTGGAATCGGTCTTAAAAAACAAGAGTTTGTGCCAAGTTCCTTCTTGTTGAGCTGCATTTTGAAAACGCAAAGCTGTTCGCCTTCAGCCCTGCACCAAGTGCCAGAACTGGGGTCGCGCTCTGAAGGTCACGTGAGCCCGTAAAACAGCAGCAGTCAGATGTTTGACACGGCAGGGTGTTTTGGTTTGCTT